TGTGAGGGACAGTTAGTGCAGTGCACAACACGACACAGCTCCGCTTCTTTGAGGTGTTCACCAAATGACCCAAAGAGTGACTTCAGCATAGAAGGGTTAATGAATGGGAATCAATATGTGCTTGGCCGGTTTAAAACGTGCGTTTAAGACTGGCTGAGGAGAACGACCGCTGATAATGCCTAAGTCGCAGGCGAGAGCATGTTAGTCATGTCTATTCTCCTGAGCAGGTCTTAAATGCACGTTTAAGACCAGCCATATTTATTCCCTTGTTTAATCAAATTTCTAGATCGTTTTCCTGCAAATTTGTTCACTTTAAAAAACAAAGAAAGAAAAGTCAATTACATGCAGCTTGCTTTTGAATAGATACATGCATCCACCCCAAGCATGCCAAGTTGCAGTGTTCCTTCACCGGTGAAGAAAACACAGATGGTAACAAGTTTTTCTAACCAGGTTCTTGTAAGTGTTCAGCGTGCATGCAAAGCCCATACATTCCAGACTAAATTCATTGTACATACTGGTCTCTGGAACAAGATAATTCTCACAATATAAACAGGCGCAAGCCTCCAGAGTCATACACTGCAAGAGATTGATTTCCTCAACTTAGTCTTTGCTGTACTATAGTCCTGATGACCATGCTTATACAAAAGTAGTTATGTGTTGTGTGATGAACAGTCCACATGATGATTGATGCACTCAACTATTTAAACAACGTTAAAATGAGTAAACACTAAAGTCCAATCACGATAGCAATCGGTCACAAGAAGTGTATGAACCATGTACGAACATATGTACATATGTAAGCCTTATCGCAAATACTGCATGGGTGATTTTAAACAATGCTCCGAAGTTCTACCATTGTGTAAAATCACCCATGCAGTATTTGTGATACATGGCCTATGTACACGTAGGCTAGTTGTAAGCCTATGCATGCAACGTTAATTTATGACGTGGAGATCAGCAAGCCAAAATAAGCGACGTACAAAACCAGAATGGCTCCTCTACACAACTATCCGAATCGCTAAAATCTTAATAAATAATAGAAGCCTTATCACTCAAACCGTATCTTAAAACATTTTACAAATATCAAAGATATCGAACTTTGACAAGAAATACCTCAAAGTTGCTTCTCAGACCTCAACGTCTCAGTACACATGTAGGCCCGGCGCCTAGTGTTAGTGCCAGTGGTGCACGTTGGTGGGCTCAGCAAAGCTGTACCGTACGATCTTTGGTTTTTAGAAGTTTTTAGAATGGTCCGAATCAAGAGCGCCCCCAATTGGCCCGCACGGAACACAAACAAAATTATTTTTATCCGCAACAGTCCGCGTAACACTTTCCTTAGCTCTCTACTTTCCAAATATGGCCAACCCCGCCAGCAAGGTCATCTGTTTCTGTATCATTCAGTCAGCAACATGTCTTCTTTTGACACACATCCCGCCCATTTAGGGCAAGCTATGTGTGGAGTGGCTAGACGACATTTACTGATCAGATTTACCTTCTTAAATAATTCCATGGAGAGTTTACCACCTCGGTTATTAACCTGTTCCAGGCTACTATGGTTGTTACAAAGGAGGAGTTCTGGAAGGATTTGGCTTTATGAATATACTCTCGAAGTGGGACTGCGACCAGGCCATTCACCATCTTGTACATCATATAATTTGTTTCTTTAGCCCTTTAGTGTGTCCCATCCATGGTCAGCCAGTGCTCTGGTAACCACTCCCTCCTCCCTCTTGTAGTTTCCGTTGGATACATTCTAATGAATTTATGTTCTGTTTTAAAGCAGCTTCCCATGCTACCAAGGCACATTCGAGTACAGGCCTCACCATTGACATCTTGTAGGGGGGGGCTTTTGATTTCTTTGCTGCACCCCAAAGGGCTCCTGATAACATTTTGGACTCTTTGGGCTTTCTTGCAAACTTCTTTGGTATGTAGATTCCATTTCAAAGTACGGGAAAGATGGAGACTCAGGTATGGAAAAGTGTCAAGACATGAGAATTCTTGGCCACAAAAGTGGTATTTGAGGTGGGGTGGGTTTCTTTTTATCCGATAGTCATGGTGCAACATTTGTTGGGGTTAAACTTCATCAACCATGTGTCCTGCCAGTCTCCAAGCAATTTTACGTCATTTTGCCGTATACTTTATTGATCAGCAGTAACCAGGGTGTACAAAATACAATCGTCTGCAAACAATCTTGTTTGACAATATGTGTTCCTCGGTAGATCGTTTATATATCTATTCAGGAGAAACCACAGGGGTCCTATAACAGTCCCCTAGGGAACACCAGATGTAACTGGTGTCAGAGAGGATGTCTGCCCATTGACCAGGACTTGCTGGTCATGAGATCTATTGAAAAAAAACTTACATCACTCGGCAGTTGGTAAGGCGTTGGAGAGTTCAGAGCACCTCTTATCTATGCCGCTCTAACACTGCTATAGTATAAGCATGGGGAAAGCAACCGTAGCGGCAAGCACGTGGCAAAAATCAAACGGTTACGGCAGCCAGCACTGCACCCAAACTCTCCCTCACGTAATGTGGGTTGAGTCTACTACTGCATACCTACCAGATTACCAATACATATGCATTATTTCCTATTAAACCACTCTTGTGACGTCACCCTGTTCAGTAAAGTGTCGTTTATTGTTAAGAATGTACAGTTAACAGTACATTCTTAAAGAATGTAGAGTGTGGACATTCTTCAAAAGCGACTTGACATACAACGAAAAAGCACTTGAGACATTAAATTACAACGTCAAACACCGTAAGAAATGCTCTCAACAATAAAGCAGATTGTTTTAGACAGTTAACACTCAAATTTTTAGATTTGACGCGGGACCGGCAACGTTTTTTGTTGAGATTACCGATTTTCAATTAACCTTAACTCCCTAGGGTGTATGCAAAATCATATTTAAATTGGAGGATTCAGGACTGTTAGGGTTAAAGCGAATCGTTCCTTACGTTGCACAATATGTTTTTAATGCGTCTCGTTCATTTTTACATACCTTTTGAATTTCAGTTTCGTTTTTACATATCCCTTCCATTTTAGTTTTATTTCATCTTTTTTCATTTTAATTTAGATATTTATTCTAACGTATAATTTTTTATTATTTTTATCCTTTTTCTTTGTATTTATTTTAAAATTCACATGTCGCAACATACTTTCGGTTAAACCTCAGTTTTACCTCTTTCGCTGTTATTAAACAACTTTTAAATACAACTTCAGCAATCACAATTCATGTACAATTTGCAAAACAGATTAATCGTTTAGAAACTTACATGTGATACTTCCCACATGAATGAGATGATATTCCAAATGCATGTATTTTCCAAACGGAAGAATTTCCTTTGGCGACTGGGGGATTCAAAGAGTAAGCATGTATTTTCAAGTAATAAACGTAATTTTCATTTGAAGAGACAGTAAACTGTAGTTCTCAAATCAGTCACTCAGGAAACTTGCTTGTTGGTGGTGTGAAAGGTCCCCAGCTCCAGACAGTCATAACGATAGCCTTTTTAAACGTTAATGTAGCGTATCAATTTTCTGCAACTGGCATAATTTATTAATATAAATCCATGGTGTCGACTGCATGTCTGCGTTTAACTTCGTGTAAAGCATGTACTCTGCCTGTGAATGAAAAATAGTTGTGCAACCAGCCGAAGAGAGACTCAATGGCTTAATTGGGACAGGAATGAAGCTTTTATGTACATGCAGATATACATAGCTAGCCAACGCTGGACAAATGATGGATTCATCTCAAAGCGTCT